TTTACAGAATTTTTCCCGATTTTATCTTTTCCGGATTTTTTTTTCCAGATTTTTTTTTTCCGGATTTTTTTTTCCAGATTTATTTTTTTCCGGATTTTTTCCTCCGGATTTTTTCTTCCGAATTTCGGGACAATACCAAAACACAGACGCATTGAACATGAAATATTTAAAGACGACAAAGATATCGTGCACTTAATATTCCATTGCTTGACAAACATCGGTTGTTATCGTGCTCTGCGTATTATGATTCCGTTACGTCGATGTCGTCCTTCATCGCGTCTTTCCGTTTTCATACCTTTACTTTCTTCCGTTTCTACTTCTTGTCGTTCTTCGTAACAGAAGAATAAAAATAATTTTCTAACTAATGGAGCTTTTGAGGGTGGCTCTAAAACAATTGAACCTTCCCAGGGATGTCTGACGTTCTGTTGGTGACCCGTGCAGGCGTGCAGATGGTAGGCCTTCCTAGCATACATCAATGTATGCATGAATAGAAGCGTCCATTTCGTCATCGTCTTTTCGAAGATGATGATCATGGTTGTACTATTCATACATACATCGATGTATGTTTGCCTAACCATTGCCGGCTTTGTCCACTGTACGAGCCAGCAGAATACGGAGGGTATCTCTGGTCGCGCGTGCGCGAAATTTTGCAGCTGCTTGCTTGGGCGAGGTTTGGGTTCAAGAAGAGCAATTTATTTACCTTTTAAAAACGAAAAAAAAAACAATTACATTTTCTTTTTTACAATTTCAATGTTGCTTTTCACCAGAGCAATATGAGGATGTGTTGGAGGCAGTGATATTTTCCGAATTTCTTGAGCTTTCTCGAAATGTGAAAGTGCTTTCGAGTACTCGCCCATGTGATTATACACCGAACCGATGTTGTTGTAGGAAAAAGCCAAGGCGGGATGATTCGGAGGGAGAGCTATTTTCTGGATTTCAAGTGATCGTTCATACGATGAAAGTGCTTTCGAGTACTCGCGCAGGCTATGATATACCGAACCGATGTTGAGGTAGGAAGCAGCCAAGTCGGGATGATTCGGAGGGAGAGCTATTTTCTGGATTTCAAATGATCGTTCGTACGATGAAAGTGCTTTCGAGTACTCGCCCATGTTATTATACACTATACCGATGTTGATGTAGGAAGCAGCCAAGTCGGGATGATTCGGAGGGAGAGTTATTTTACGGATTTCAAGTGATCGTTCATATGATGAAAGTGCTTTTGAGTACTCGGTCATGTTAGCATACACCGTACCTATGCTGAGGTAGGAAGAAGCCAAGTCGGGATGATTCGGAGGGAGAGCTATTTTACGGATTTCAAGTGATCGTTGGTCCGATGAAAGTGCTTTTGAGTACTCGCCCATGTCATTATACGCCCAGCCAAGCTTATGGTTGTAATCTGCTCGAGCCGTATCAGAAGTTGCCTGAGGGAGGAGTATCTTGTAGAGCTTCTCAGCTTTTGCAGGCTCGCCCAGTTTGAGAAGTATGAAAGCTAGTTGTGACCATCCTCGTTTTGGTGCTTTCGAGTTGACATCTTCGCGTATGTGTGCTGTGAGTTTATTAAAGTCATCATCTTGATTACCCACAATAGTGAGAGTAACTTCGTATAGCCGATCAGAGTGATTGTCGTGAATTTGTTCAATGCGATCGATACGAAAAATCGCATGTGTTGAAAATAGTATTTCTTCCTCTTTATCTTTGTAGTAACCAACGTTGTTTACTTCAGCAAATGGTGTTGAGGATTTCGTGCAAATAGCCGTGTCAATGTTCATAATGAAAAGGATGCCAACTGTATTTGTATTAAATGCTGCTGGTCGTGCAAAGTTGTTGAAAGATATCTCACGATTACGACTTGTTGACAGAAAATTATTAAAGGACATAAGTCCTCCTTTGGTTTTTTTCATTTTTTCAAAATCTTCCATGGACAAACCTTGTCCACGGAAGACTTGAAAATTTGTTGGTATGTTGGCTTTTTGTTCGCGATGTAGTTCGGTAATATGGTGATGTAAATGACGTATGAAAAAGCCCATTTTAAGGATGATGTCAACATCCATTTGTCGGAGTCCCCGATTCAGCATTGGATATAAAAATGTTTCAGCCGTATACCACCATATTGGTGTATGATTACGATATTCACGTTCTATTTGTTTAATTTGATCTTCAGAAATATCATCCTGTTCACGGCAGTAATCGACCAAATCTTTGATGGATTTTTTATCGTCATCTTCGATCTCCAAGAGTGCTTCTTTTAAAAGTTGTGTATACATAAATAATGCATCACGACCATTAAAGCTGATCGGGATCATAGCTTGATCACATCGTTGTCGATCGATTTCAAGTGCTTGACAAATTGGTTCAATTTTTGTGTATACACCCTTAACCTTGCTTATTTTTTTAGCCCATTGTTCATGAACTGATTGGTTGCCGCAAAACACATAAATTGCTTCCAGTTGTGGCCATACTTCGATTTCTGGTACTATCTGACGACCCAAGGAACCTGATACGATCATAAATATCTTTTCTTTTTTGATTTCACTAAGGAAATTAACACATTCTTGGGCATCCGTAAACGTTGTGATGGATGCCACAATTTTTCGAAGATGTTGCAATGAATTCTTAAAATCGTTATCTGATTCTTGCAAATTGGCATCGAGCCATACCAAAAGGAAATTTTGAAGAACCCGACGCATAGGTCGAGACAACACAGCAGCAGCACGATTGTTCGCGTTGATCATAGTGGTGGTGCTAGGCATCGCTGCTGCACCACTGATAACAGTTGTTGTCGATTTTTGTTTGCTCATTGTAATTGAACGAATGAATATAATCAGTGAAATGTAGTCCCCTATATTTATAATTGTTAAATTTTTTGTTGGTTAACATCATTCCTTTTCTGACTTGTGGCTACAGACTTCAAGAACCTCTACTATCTGGTTCATTTTTGTTTCAAGAGTGTTACTGACAAAATACATCGAACCATAAATAAAGAAGAATGGCTAAGGAAACAAATAGTCGCTGAGAACGGACGACATGACTAGTCCGAAATGTCGAAAATACCTGTCTTAACTAGTTATCCTGGCATGAAAACTCCTGCAGCTACGTCTGAACTAGTCCAGAATGTCCTCAAACTTCGACATGTCTATCCCGTTTCTCTATCTAACCTGTCCACATTAGTTCATAGAACGGCAAAAGAGCATTTCTAAAAGTAAAAATTGTGCCTTTCATTGCTGGTACTCGTGTTGAAATGTATGCACACAAACAGTTACTCTGTTTAATATGTTTTACAATCAGATTGTTTTATACATACAAGATTCTGCAACCAAGACAATCGGTTGCATGTTCTGAGTATTATCAAGCGAAGTTCTCGTAAAACTAACGGATGTCCCAGGAATAATGGACCTCTCAGTATTTTTAAGATTTCTCCTCAATTATTCGTGTGATTAAAGTCCTTTTTATTATCAAATGATAGCGCTTGAAATTCTCTACAAAACCATATACGACTAGACCCCAAAACAGTTCTATATATATTTGAAAAAAGTCGAAAACTAAAGATATACACACGGCTGCAAAA